TATAATTAAAGATATTACCACGGATAAATATGTGTGCCGCCACAAGCTCACACGCGTCCGCCCACACACCCCCTCCCTCGTTCGCACACAAGACGCCGAAAGAAACAATAGAAGGGGATACAGAATAGCTAACGACCGAGCGTGAGGTCGAGGTCCCTAAAGGCATTCCAACTCTCGCGTTCTTACAGGGATAATTATCATGTACTTCTCCAGAGGCGTTAGCTGGCCGCACGTCCCGAGAGCCTCCCAAGGGGCGTGTTGCTTCTCTGTGGCCGTCCCATAGCTCAGAAGCCACGCCCCTGACACCCATACCTGTCGCAGCCATGACGGCCTCGAGCCAACCATCCGCACGTTCTTTGTTTCGCGTCAAATCACACCCACTCGTTTTTTTTTATCCCGTTATCCCCGTCCATCCATTTTCATCCCTTTATTCTGATCCATCTCTTCATCTTTTTATGACCTAACCTTTCACCTTGCCTTATTTTCATACTGTGTTTCAGTCGCCTTTTCCTTATCAATCTATCTGTTTATCTGTTTGTCTAATCTATCTATCTATCTATCCATCCATCTATCTATTTATATTTATTCCTCTACCCCTCCACTCCCCCCCGGTCCACTCTCGCCTGTAATCCACACGATCTACATCCACTTCAGAATACGGGAGAAATGAGTTCTCCAACTTTGTTATGGGAGATGATACGATCCGATAAGAAGGAACATGACATAGTGTACGTGCTCCTTGTTGTAATGTTGATGTCCCCATACAGTTGTGCAGTATTTTTGTGGTAGAGGCAGAGGGGATGTCGTTGCTGTTGTTGCTGCTGTTGTTGTTGATGATGTTGTTGTTTTTGCTGTTGTTGTTGTTGCTGTTGTTGTTGATGCTGTAGTTTTCTGTAAGTTTACGTGTGGCACTGTTAAGTTACTTAGTAAGCTTATTTCCTTCGCTTAATGCTTTCTCATGTTTATTTGTTTTGCCTTTTCGTCGTTATCGTTATTTCTGTTTTTTCCGTTTTGCCTTACTTTTCAAAATTCTGACCACGTCTTGGTTGAACATTAACGATCGAGGTGTTAGATTGTCACTAATTAAGGGAGAAAATGTGTTTTAGTTATAACAAGACAGTTGGTCCGCTCGTACTGGCAGAGATGCAAGAGCAGTGACCACTGTTTGCTGTTCATTATTTTCCTCATTATATTGCTAGCAGTTGCCAGTAATGTTGCCAGTAATGTAATATTATTTGCATATTTGTTTTCTTCACTGTTGTAATTTATTTAGCCTTTTGTCTTGATGTTATTGTTATTCCCAGCTCTTGCTGTCATTATAATTATTGTTATGGTTGTATCTAGAATATTATATAGAGAACACTACTGTTATTGATATTATCACCATTATTATCGCTCAGTTTTTGTTATTACAATTATTATACTGTTATTATCATATTCAGTATCAACACCGTCGTTTATAGAGATCATCATAACCGATACGATTTTGCGACGTTTACGAGCGACCTCGCCGCGGACGCCACGAAACGATCAATTTCTCTGACCCGGAATTTCTGCCGATGTCCTGCCACTCCCCCGAACGCCTCCTTAAACTCCTCCTCGCCAGGGCATTCCAGGTCGGGTGGTGACGTCACCTCGCTGCCGCCCTGGGTACTGATACCCCTCAAGTCCCGCTCGTTATTGTGTGCGAGGGCGTCGACCCCTCCCCCCCTCCCTCCCTCCCTTCTTCCCTCTCCCTGCGATTCCTCTTGGTTTTGGTTGTTGGTTTGTTAGTGAGCCAAAGAAAAAGGGGGGTGGGGAGAGGGGAATTTTCATGTGTTTGTTTGCATGTGTACTTGGCTGTCCGTGTCTAAGGTGAAGAGAAAAGTCAAAATTCCAAAGAAAGATAGTAAAGTAACTAACTCTTGTCCGTCCCTTTTCTGTTGACAAAATCAGCTCCTTTGTAGCTGTCATCGCCTCCCATCCCCCTTTCACCTTGACTAACAGCCACCTTAATATATTGCCACAATTATCGAAATCACCCCCTAATTCGCACCTTCGCCCCATTAAAATAAGGGCGTAATTTGGGCGTGGGGCGTGTAACTATTACAAATATGTATGTATAAAAAATGGGAGATGCTGTTACTGTTCATCAGCAAATGGCTTTGAGTCGTAAGCTGGCGGTCCCGGGCGTCCCTGGGGCGCTGCCCGCGTTTATGGCGGCCGCGCTCGCTGCTCGGCGGAGGGGCTTCTGCCTTTTACTCTTTTGCTCTCTCCTCTCTGTTTGTTTGTGTTTGGCAGGATTCTTTTTCGTAAGTGTTTTTCTGCCTTTTTCTCATCTCTATCTATCTAGCTATTAATCTCTCTCTCTCTCTCTCTCTCTCTCTCTCTCTCTCTCTCTCTCACTCTCTCTCTCTCTCTCTCTCTCTCTCTCTCTCTCTCTCTCTCTCTCTCTCTCTCTCTCTCTCTCTCTCTCCTCTCTCCTCTCTCTCTCTTTCCTCTCTCTCCTCTCACTCTTTTTTCTCTCTCTCCTCTCCTCTATCTATCTATCTCTATCTCTCTTACTCTTTTTTTTCTCTCTCTCTCTTACTCTTTTTCTCTCTCCCTCTCCCTCCCCCTCCCTCCCTCCCTCCCTCCCTCCCCTTCTCTCCTTTCCTCCCTCCCTCCGTCAGTGTATATATGTTCTCTCTCCCCTGCCCTCCACCCGTTGCAGCCGGTGAATCCCAGCCCCAATTATCCTCCATGCAAAGGCGAGCATCGTCGGCGCGCGAAGAGGTTCCTTCGGACGCCCCCACATGGCTCAGGACCAATCTGGACGTCGTGTTATCCAAATAGATCTTTTTATTGTATGTTATCCTACTCCCTCTACGCTTTATTGCTCATCCCCATCCACTTGCCGCGTGTGTTATGGCGGCATTGGGCTTGGAGTGTCCGGTCGGCCTTGCAGGGTATTTGCGCGCGAAACTTTTTTTTTTTTCCTGCGGTCGTGTGTGTCGGGATTCGCTCGTGTGGAGGGTAAACACACTAGCGGCGTGTGGGCGGAGTGCGTGCTGGTGTTTCTCGTTTTCATTCTTTTTTCCCCCTTTTTTTCTCCCTTTTCTTTTTTTTTTTTCTTCGGTAGTCTTTCTTCTCTTTTATGTTTCTTTTTCTGTTTTTTTTCCGACTTCCCGTTTTTATTTTCTTTATTTCCCCTTTCCTTTTTAGTATATCTTATTTTTTTGAGGTCTCTCTTCACTTGTACGTTTTTTTTTCTCTCCCTTCTTTCGTCATATTTTTTTCCTTCCTAAGTTGGTGTGTTTAGATAGGATTATTAAGACAATCGTGCGTCGTGCGCCCCACCCGCTCCGCCGCCGCCAGGACCGCACCCTCACATTCGCCGTCAGGTGAACGCGGGCGAGGATGGAGGTTACTCATCACCTTGCTCTCTCTCCCCTTTCCTTCTCTCTCCCTCCCCCCCTCCCTCTCTCTCTCTTTACACACACATACACACACACACATACACACACACACACACACACACACACACACACACACACACACACACACACACACACACACACACACATATATATATATATATATATATATATATATATATATATATATATATATTTATATATATATATAAATATATATAAATATAAAGTATGTATGTACGTACATATACAAACATACACACACGCAAATATATATGCATCTATGCATATATTTGTATGAATGTATGCACACACACACACACACACAATGTTTGTGTGTGTGTATATATATACATATATATGTATACACACACACACCTTCACCCATCCATCCTTCCATCCATCTTCCCTCACTTCCCTCCGCCCACCACCTTCTTTCTTTCCCTGACATGCACCGAGGAGATAACCCTCTCCTCCCTCCCGCCCGCCCGCCCGCCCGCCCTCCGCCCAACAGGTGTGGATGGGCGTAGGCAAGACGGCGTGTGGATGGAGCCCTGCGCGTGGGTGAGCCTCCGAGTCTAACACGCCGGTTATGGCCAAATAAGGAAGCTTTAATTGTCGACCATTATTAAACATGCTCGGTCTCCGTGGCTGCGCAGGGGGGGGGGAGAAGCCGGAGAGGGAGGGGGAGGGGGAGGGGGTGCTGCGCGAAATTCTTGAATGGGATGAAGGGGCGGGGGCAGGGGGTATGGGTCGGGGGGGGGGGGTAAGGGGTGGGGGAGGGGATGGGGAAGAAATGCTTGCTTATCGCCCGGGGATTTCTCGCGAGATCGGGTTGCGGCGCGTAGGGGGGGGGAGTGTGGCCGTAGTATCTTGGGTGTAGAGGGGGGGGGGCTAAGGTAAGGTATATGGGCTTCTTTCCTAATTACTGTCATTTGTATGCTGATGGGAACTGAAGTTTGTTTGTTTGTAGTTACTGTCATGGGTATGTTACTGTTTACATTTCCAGGTACATACTGTACAATGCATAGATACAAACAAACGCATGTTTGTATGTCCTACTATATATGTATGTTTGTGTGTATATATATATGTGTGTGTGTAATTATGTGTATATATATGTGTGCTTGTGTAAGTTTTTATGTATATATAAATAAATGTGTGTGTGTGTGTATGTGTGTGTGTGTGTGTGAGTGAGTGAGTGTGTGTGTACATTTACATATACGAGTGTGTGTGTGCGTGTTTGCAGAGATACATACATTTTATTTTAACATTAACCAATATTTGTATAAGGGCATTCACCAATGTTTGTACTTTAATATTCATGAAAACTGTTTGTCCACGTGATGTTTACAAGCGTACAAGATGTGTACAATAAAATATATAAGAAGACATGAATTTCAATCGACGGACAATCATTTTTCGCCCACCAGAAATTCCAGCGGCGTCGGCGTAAATTCAGTTTTCCGTTACCTCCAAAAGAAATATTATTCTCCTTTCGTCAAGTAAAAATCATCTGTTCTGTTGCAACGTCAACAAATACAAACCAACTTGATTGACACCGCAAAATTCTAATGTTTTTTTTTCTCTCTCCTTCCATTGCAGCATGTGATTGCAACTTGCACGCTCGGCGATGCAGGTTCAACATGGAGTTGTACAAGTTGTCGGGGCGAGTTAGTGGCGGCGTCTGTCTCAAGTGCAGACACAACACGGCGGGGCGACACTGCCACTACTGCAAGGAGGGATTCTACAGGGACTCCACCAAGCCCATCACGCACCGGAAAGCTTGCAAAGGTGAGTTGCATGTAGTTGGGCCTAGCAGTTTGTAAGGGAGGGGGGGGTGTAAGCAGTTTGTAGTGGGTTGGAGTGGGAGTTTGGAAAAAAAATAGTGGTCGCTTTACGTCGGTAGTTTGGCCGATGAACACGATGAGTTCTGGAACTTGGTATTAGGAGCGGATCCGAGCGAGGGAGTGGGAGTTTGACCTTATAACTAGAAGCGATGAGCGCCTACTAATAACAGGAGTTAGAGCTACTGGTGGGACAGAACGACCTAGTTGCTGATGAGTTATTACCAGCGTTATAGATGATCATGTTGTTTCTAATGGATGGCTTCTGAGGGACGACGCTGACGGGGTGTTTGTGTCTGTCTGTCCCTGTGTTGCCATTACGCTTGATTTGTCGTCACCCACGCTCGGTTAGTCTTGGCTTTTCTCTTTTTCTGCGCTGATGAGATTCGCTGATACGCCTTTGCTTCTTTCCTCGTTGTGTGTTGTTTTGCGATTTGTTATTGTGCTGTGGAATTGTTACGTCTTTTTTGTTCGTATCTCTCCCTGCTCTCTCCCTCTCCCCTTTCATCTATCTCCTCGCTCTCCTCCTTTTTCTTTTACCCTCTGCTTTTCTTCCCCCCCCCTCCTTCGGTCAGTAGCGTAGCTTCATTCATCACCCTGTCGTCACTTGAATCTCGTTGACCTCCTGCGATTACCTACAAGAAACGGAGAAATCCCCTCTTGGAGCCAGCCGTGCCTCCACGCTCGTCTCGTCCTCCGTGCCGCGCGAACAAACTAGTGTCAGGAGCGAAGGCCGGATGGATTGCTTGGGATTCCGTTGGCTCGTAGATTCTCGGAGGGGTCGTTGGCAGCGCGAGGACGACCAGCCAGTGCCGCGTCGTGGTGTCGTGGGGTCGTAGATTCATTGAGGGGATGGGGATTTCTCTATCAGCCCCGAGAGCTCTTTACATTACTCTACTGCACGCTCGTCCGTTTATATAGCGCTACTTCCCTCGTTGTGCTGTGTGATTCCTCATAAATAGGCGGTTACTTGTGTGATTCTCGAGCACATAAACACACTTGGAGAAGAAGATATTTAAACTCTTCAGTACTTTTGGTTTCTTGTTCATTCAATATTTTTTTTAGAATGCCTAGAAAACCGATGGGGTTAGTTGAACCCTACACACGTTAGTACAGGCGATCCATTCATAATTTTGGGTCTGTAGAATCATTCACGCTTCATTCATGCACATGATGTATACAAATTGGATGCTCTTTGTATTGCCCTGTTTTGTTTGTGTTTCACAACGAACCGCATAGGTGAATGGACGGGCACATGCAGTGACTTTTCAGTGTTTAATGAGTAGTATAGTAATTAACTTGTTTTTCATTGTTTCATTAAGGAACGGTGATGGTGCAGGGAGTAGTAGTATGCTGCAGCCCCGATTCTCCCAGTTTGTCTGTTTGAGACCTATGGAACTTTGGACCACCGTTTATGAACCAGGATTTTCACACCGGATTATTAAAACTGGATATAGAAGCACTTGTAAAAGGGTTAAAGGTCATAGATAACCCTTGTTGATGGTGCCATAAAGTTTTACATGTGTCTGCATAACTAGAGCTGCGACATATGATGCGGAGTAACAGCATTGGTATATTTATTAAGATAAGGAAGCTAAAGAGGGACTTATAAAGGACATAACAATAAAAGATATTATGGGCGGTTTGACTGTTAATGATTGACAATTATGTATTCATAAATCAGAGAAAATTATTAAAACGACAGTGATTTATTTTTTCCGCTTGAAATACACGAGTTGTACTTCTGGTTGTATTTTTGGGCAGACCTAGTATTTTTTTCTCCAGCGCATTTATAGGCGTATTTCAAAAGTGCAAATGGTTGGGGCTGGAAATTACTGTCGACTGTCAAATTTACGGGAAAAATATTTTTAAAAAGTCATCCGACTAAATGTTTCGCTCGTAGTGAAGGAAGAGGATGCGTTTGATTTTCTTTGTTTCTTTATGTGATCCTTTCCTTTACAAAGTAGTTACGAAAGAGTTACCAGAAGTTACAGGGAAAGTTTGTTGTGCAAATGCATCAGAAGTTGGGATGAACAAGAGTTTTGATCTACATAGTACATACACAAATTTAAATAGGCACACACACACACACACACGCATACACATTGCACACGCACACGCTTAGATTATAGATAGATATAGATAGATATTTAGAAGTCGTACAATAGGGTTCACAGTCAGTTTCCCACGCGCTCGTAAACAACAAATGAACACAGCTTCGCCTACGCACGTTTATCCATTCACATTTTCTGTCGCTCACATATATCTCATGCGGGCTGACTGATACATGTGTACATAATGTTCTTGTACACACGCACACGGCTACAAAAAAGAAACATGGCAATATTTGATGAGGAGCGTTGCTTACTCGCAGGGCGCGTTCTCATAATGCTCTCCCCTTTTTCTCCTTCGTCTCCAGAATGGACGCTCCCTTTTCTATATGTAAAAAAACATCCGCCTCGACATATGCAAATGCTTATGGACAGCCGGCGCTGCGGCCACTCATCGCCCCGCCCGCAGACAAATGTGTGATCGCCGATGGGAGCATATTAAAGGGTTCAGCCCTGGCCCAGCTGTGGTAAAAACGGTGGTCGCAGCGGGTGGGGGACGCTGCACCCCCTCGTGGGGAGCCGTCATATCTCCCTCCCTCTCCCCGCTTCTCTCTCCTTCCCCCTCCCCTCTCTCCTCTCTCCCCCCCTGTTTCTTCTTCTAACTTCCCTTCCTTCTTCCTCTGCCCTCTCCTTACATTCCTCTCCTTCCCCTTTTATTCTCTCTTCCTTTTCACCTCTCCTTCTCCTTCTCCCCCTCCTCTTTCCCTTTTCACCCCTACCTCACTTTTCACTCTCCCCGAACCCCTCTTCCCTTGTGTCCTTCCCTCCCCCTCCCCTTCCCTCCCTCCCCCTCTTCCTCCCCTCCCCTCCCCTCCCCACCCCTCCCCTCCCCCGTCTCCTTCATCTTAGCCCCCAGCCTGGGTGTGGACGAAAGTGGCGCTTATTTATGTCGCCGCGAACCTCCCCATATATCTGGCGTGCGGGGCGAGCGCGCAGAGACGTCGGCCGCTGATAAATTCATATCTGCACGAGCTCGCAATGAGCCCCGTTGGCGATCGGCTCCTCCTGGCTAAGGGGCAGGTGGTTGGGGCTGACTGGAGGTCACGGTCGGGAAGTGACTGGAGATCATGGCCTTAGATTTCATTGCATTTATTTATAATTTTTTATTTTTTTTTATCGCTCTTCGCTGAGTTTAATTACTCTGTTCATTAGTTTCAATGGTCTCTATAATAAGAGGGTTATGAGGAAAATAAATGTTTGAATGATATGATTATTTGACATGGATATGTATGAAGCAAATATTTATGTCAAGTATTGTATTCTGACATAAAACGCGAGTATATCAGACTCATTAGTGGACCGAAGTGTTAATTAAACTCTCGCTTATGGCGGATTTATTTATATGAATTCGCTCGTGGGATATAATATTACAAGCGTTGAAATTAGCTTTGAAGACAAGATATGAAGACGTTTGTCCTGGTGACTCAAAGGCCAGAGACGGGACGCGCCTCGGCCGCTCGGGTCAGCCCCGCCGCGCCCCTTGGCCCTCGACCGAGAGGCAGACGAAGGGATTGTTCTCGTCTTTCTTGGCTTCTCTGTTTTTTTTTCTTTTGTCCTATTCTGTTCTCTCTCTCTTCCTCCCTCTCATCCTCCCTCTCATCATCCCTCCTCTCTCTCTCTCTCTCTCTCTCTCTCTCTCTCTCTCTCTCTCTCTCTCTCTCTCTCTCTCTCTCTCTCTCTCTCTCTCTCTCTCTCTCTCTATATATATATATATATATATATATATATATATATATATATTTATTTATTTATCTATTTATTTATATATATTTATATATATTTATATATATTTATATATATTTATATATATATTTATATATATATTTATATATATATTTATATATATTTATATATATATTTATATTATATTTATATATATATTTATATATATATATATATATATATATATATATATATATATATATATATATATATATATATATATATATATATATATATATATATAAGCATCGCTGTGTGTGCGACTATCTGTTATAGTCAGGTACAGTTCTTTCTGTCGCCTCTCATTTAGCTTTGCAAGATTGATGAATTTGTCCGTCCTCTGCGAAGGCGCGAAAAGGCCGAGCGAAATACAGCTCAGCCTCCGCCCAAGGCCATTGTCATGTTAACTCTGGTTTTTGGGCGACTCTTTGAGGCCTTACCTCTCCGTGCTGCATTGTGCGATTTCCCTTTGTGTTTCCACGCGAGAATTAGCATCTTTTGTGGCCTGTCTGGTTTCTTGTTTTTGTTTTGTATTTCTGTTTTTTGTGTATATGGTTTTGTTTGTTCGTTTTTTTTTTCTTTTTTGTGTGTAATTATTGTTCGTTGCTGTACATTATCTGGGTGATCGTATTTAAATCTAATTAGCTTGCGATTTAAGACGCGTGTTGAGCGTAAGTCGGAGCGAGCGCGGACACGTGGAAGGCAAGATTAACGAAGAAGAATAATTCAAGGAGGTGGCGATAATTCAGGGGTGAGGCGAGCACAATAGAAGGAGAATGATAGGCGAAGTTGGCAGTCAATTAACTCGACCCATAAGTGATAATCGCAATTAATGGCTGGACACAACAATAGGCGCGGGAGATAGCCGAGTAGCCAGCTTCAGTTTTCCGCATACATAATGATTGCAGAAAAAAGCAAGAGGGGTGAGCAGAGTAGGAGGAGGAGATGGACAAAGTGGTAATAAATTCTGCCTCGATAATAGTGTAAGCGAGTGTTGTATGGGCGTTGGGCGCGGGCGGGCCGGGACAGCTAACGAGACACGACGCCCGCGTGTTATCGTCAACGCTCGCGCAGCTGGCAGCGGACCTTCCCCCCCTCCCCCTTTTTACTCTTT